AAGTTATTTTTATTTCCTCTGTATTTATCGCTAAAATGAAGCATTACACGAAGATTAAAAATGTTAGAAGTTTTATTCCCATCCTAGAAGTTAAATGGAAGATGATTTTGAACAATGCAATTTTTCTCCAGTATCCTTACCGACTGTTTAATATAATACTAACCTACCCCTGTGAAATCAAATTTAATTTGTAACCAGTCGATTCTTATTCCCCGAGTTTTTACTTTTTACACCTTCTTTTTCAGATTACTTGAGAATCCTTGAGAATCGCAGAGTGCGCTATCATTTTCTCTCGTGTCCCGTATCATCGATAAATCAAAGAAACGCGTTGTCGCGATACAGAAACTAATAATAAGTTCAATCAAAGAGAAGACGACGAATATTTTCAATCTTCCTGCTCCCGTAGGAAACGCTAATTCCGATCTTCGCTGAACATAATTAACCAAGGGCAAACCAAGCTAATCGAAAACGGGCACGAGAATCGCGCTCATATCTCGGCGACGATTTAAGAGCTTTCACCGCGCCAAGATGGCGAAAAAATAAAAGCTGGTAGAGCCGAAAGTCCTCCTCTGGTAGGAGGGTTAACGAACCTCTTATCGGCGATAAATCACGCGGGATTACGGCAGCCGCCTAATTACCCCTACGCGAAAGATTCTCGTAAATCAGCTCGGCTAGTCCGCATCACGAATACGATATTCACGCGACACCTTGGCTCGCCGGCAAACAGGAAACTTGCTGCGGTGGCACTTGACCCTCGCGCACCCCCCATGTATATACTCGCCGATATATCTGCCGATAGATCTGGCGACGTAACCCCAGGGGAGCCTGTCAGGGGTGTACAGGGTACAGCTGGTATGTGTGTTAAAGAGTAGAAATGATCAGATACGAGAAGCTGATATCGGAGATCGTGGAAATCTTTCGAGTCATGGACGTCGAGGAGGGAAACGAAGAAGCTGAAAAAGAAGAATACGGGGTGAGAGGTCGAGAGAGGTCGAAAGGAGTTGAAAGAATAGGAAAAAAAGAGACGAGACACGTGGTGGTGTTGGTGGTGGTGGTGGTGGTGGTGGAAAGGGGTTGAGGGTGTTGGCGAGAAAAAAAGGATGAAAACCCAAGGAAGATAAAAAGGGACGTCAGAGGATGCAAAATGCTGACTGCTGGGATCCCGCGACGGCGTTTCTCGAGGAGCACTCGGGGTCAATCAAATAAAACCGAAGCAAAGGAGAAAAGCGAACAGAGAAGAGCCAGACTGCGAGATATTGAGAGCAAAAAAATAGGAAGGAAAGAAGCGTAATGTTTGGAGATTGCGGCAACCTTTTATCGCAGTTTTGCAAAATATCCGGGCCGCCATCCAAAGGTTCTTGCCTGATTCCGAGACGAGTCGAATAGGGATGATGAATATTTCGACTCTTTCGAGAGTACGGGGGTGCCGTTGAATAGGGAATGCGGTGACGGTTAGGAAAGCATATCGAGGGGATTAAATTTAACATCGTATGAAGAATTAATTTCGATGATTTTCCAGGATTAATTTTAAACAGGGTTACTAATTGAAATTACTCGTTGGAGAATTATTCTTTTGTAATGCCGCTGTTTCGTTATAGTGTGCGGCATCTGTATCGATGATCTACTACGTTTTAGATCGGTCTTACAATTATAATCGTTAAAATTTGAGAGATATAATATTGGTAGATATAATAGCACTTTCCAAGCATCGAGGAGTATTATTAAATAATTAAAAATGAATTTAATTTTTATTCGTAGGAGGGTTTTACTCAAAAGAAGAATGTTACCTTCGAAAGATAATTAGGTTTCCCTATCTATGCTTCAGTACGATACGTGATTTATGTGGCAGAAGTTATTGCAGATTTCCGCTTTTTCTGCAAAGGATACGTCGATATCCAAACTTTCCAAATAGACTGTCCAACAAATTTTAACTTTTTCTCTAATCTGTAATATCCAACAGATAATTCTCGTAGAACTTATTTCCTCGAACGCGAATCCGTAATCGAGATTACTCTATCACCCACGGTTTTCGAAAAATCTGAGTCTTTCGATTTTTATCTAAAATGAAATATTACTTAAAAATAAGAACTTAGGAGGTCTTACAAGTTAGGTAAAAGTATCTGCAGTTTATCGATGTCAATAATTATAATTATTCCTGCTTCTGAATAATTCTAATTGGTCATCGAAGTTTAAAAATAAGCCTCTGTGCGTACTTTCAGCGTGTGTTCTTGCATTTTTAAAGATCTTTATCTGACACGAATTTATTAGACAATAGCGTGTTGTGTAAGCTGGTTTGAAGAAAAAGCCATGGAGCAAAATTATCGAAACAGTTTTCATTTTGATTAAATAGAGAAAATATTCGTCGGTAACGTGTATGCGAGGTTTTACCGCCAAGCAGCCAATGGTCACTTCTCTAATCTCGACTGTACCTTAGGTACGCCTAATCCCAGTATCAAGTGTAATGTGGCAAACGTATAACAATGTACGAAAAGGAAAAAAAGATAGGAATAACAATACAAATAAAAATGCAAATAAGTTCAAAGGAAATAGCTAGAAAGAAAAATTATTATCAAATTGTTTAAGGGAGTGAGGTGTGGATGGGGTAGTAACTCCAACCTCACTTCGGACTCTCATCCCCTTCCGCTGAAACAACGCAAATGACGTTAAACGGAATATTTTCCTAGAAGGGTAAACAATTTTTATTTCTTCAAAATTTCCCACATATCCGTGATTTTAGCTGCTTTCACTTCGCCCACGTATCAACAGAATTCGGGACTTTCTCTCCGGTCGACAAACCTTGTTGCGTATCAATGTCTCTGGACAATAAACTTATGCAAATATTGAGACACTCTACGCATTCGATAATAGAAGAGATAAGAAGTAAAACTTTTTCCAGTTAATACAGTCCGTGTATAAAATTACATGTTCCATTATTTATCCCATTCCGAATAATCTATAATTTTAATTTCTATAAAAACATTTGAAAAAGAGCGAGAAATTTCCTGTTAATAATTTTACTTTCAATAATACGCGAATATTATTCGTACATTTATTAAAATTTTCGTAACACAATTTTTGGATACATTTGTAAAACATCTGTTAAACGTATTTACCCGTTATTTTCTTAAATTTTCCATCATTTGCTCATTTGTTATTCGAGAACTGTAATTGTAGCTGCTGATCTCGTAGCTCAGCAATGCAAGCAGACTACTGAAACAAGTAGTCCCTGGCCTATCGATGCAAGCTAATGAAGCAACTGCTTCCTTGCGCCTTCGTATTATCGTTCATCTGTAATCGAATAGAAATGTACCGAGCGAAAGCAAATGAAGCAATGCGCAACCTTTCGCAAGTGTATCCGCAATTATGCATGCATCTGTAACTGGAACTCCATTTAAATGCTAAAACTCATGGACTCTGTTCTTTCTCAACTCTAAACAAACGATTGCATTCGCTTTCAACGACACACCAAAGAATCGCGTTTGTTCTACGTTTCTTTTTTCGGTGACAGAATCTTTTCTGCTCCTCTTCGAACAACGTGGCCATATATTTCAAGCGTCTTATGCAACGAGCATGCTCTTTCTCCGAGATAATGCAAGCTTCTCGCTTAAAGAAAGAATTACAAACAAGAAGGAAGCGTAAAATTCTAATGAAGCATGAACTCTTTTAATTAGAACGCAACATCAATTTTTCACGCTTCAAGATAACGTTTTGTATCCCACTCGTGAGCAATTTCGTAATACAAAACGGTCGATTAAAATCGAATAATTTTGACACGAAGCAGACACGAAATTTTGCTTATGTGCGTTATGAATAACGACAGTATTTTGATAGCCGAGTATTATGGTGCAAAAATAGATTATCACGAATGATTAGAGTAATTAAAAATCGTACCAAACCGATACCATTTTTTCCACGCTTTCTGCCGATGTCCTAATTTACATACTCGATTATTTCACAGCGCGCTTTCTTCCTTTTCCTTCTCTGTTAAGACGATTATATCTGTTCGAGGAGACAGATTTCACAAGAGGAAAAGAAAGCGATCCGTTTGCTGTACCTCTGTTTGCGTTTCAATTAGTCTTTGTTACCGATAAACGAGGAAAGAAGAGCCGCGATGTCGATACCAGTCGTGGTGCCAAATTTTCACTCGTCGGAGTTTCTAAAGGCATCCTGATGCACTTTCGCAACTTTCCACGAAATATATGCCTACGCATATAATTCTCTTTCATGATTCTCGGAAGCTTTAGTAGCTCGACGAGCGAAAGGCGAAGCACGCGATCGATTCCGATTATCACAAATTAATTTAGTCGCTTCTTAAATTAATGCAAACTCTTCGCGAATGTCTCCCATGATTGCGACATTACTTTACACTCTACAGTCCTCTACGATGTCTAATCTTGTCGGTTTCTGTTTTCTTATTAATCTTTTTAATCGTTAGAAGCCAATCCGAGAGAGATATGCCTAATCGTCTACTTGAAAATGTGAACAGCCATAAATATACAAATATTCGTATAAAAAACGAATATAAAAGCGATTAAAGCTAATTCAAGGACCCCGACGTCATAAATACCGTTGATAATAACACACGAGCACGTGTTTCCTAATAAGACAAGTCACACGTAAGAAACCGGTCTCTTACTCATTTATCGTTTCAAGTTCGTCAGCCGATTTCTATCCAACGAATCGAAATTATCATAATCGCGACAACCACGCGGCATTTCTTCGAAAGTGATCGCGTTGCCGTCAAAACACGCAAGAAATGCCAACAACCTTAACACCCCGTTCCCGTTCATCGTCCTGTTACCTGCGATAATCGGTGATGCTTCCGCGAAACTCGCTCAGCTCCCCTCCAATCTATCCATGGGTCTCCTAATTCTCTAACGAGCATCGACAGGTGAAAAAGGTGGGAGCTGGACGAAGGACAAGGCGGCACTCGAAGAATCACCGTGCACACGATCAGTTCTCGTATCGCCGCGGCCACGACGAAACTCTGACATTGCGATATGCTCGTGTCGACGTTCAAATCGTCGTTATTTCTATTCGCCGTTCTCTACCTCGGGGTCCTCGGCACGGTGAAGAAGGAACCGCGAGGTCCGATCCAAGAAGCGATCCAAAATGGCATCGCGATGCAGTACAGTCGGGAAAATTGCGTGTGGAAACGCGGAAACGACAGAGACTCGTGTCCCGATCCTGATGTCCGGGTCTTCCTTTACACGTATGATCGACCAAGGCGAGAACTCGACGCCAGGCAGTCGGACTGGCTGCGCCAGGACTACGACCCGACCAAGGAAAACATTCTTCTCGTACACGGATACGCAGGTGCATGGATATTCGATGTTTGCTAAGTTCCTTTCATCCGATGTCATATTACCATCCTCGAATGGTAGAAAGGAGGATCAGCGTCGTGACGAAGCTCGTTGGAGTGACACAGGAATTTTCCGATTATTATTAGATTCCGATTAGATAGACTCTTGCTTAATTTGAAATTTGAATAATCGAAGGTATCTATGTACAAAGTGTGGCATTTTCAGTCTTTCATAGGTCGTTATGTCGAAACGATTTATGCTTAGTAGCTGGTATTTAACTACCCTGTAACGCTGGAATGGGATGATCGACGAAAGTCGACGAATTGCGATAGATATCCTTCCTTCCGAGCGGTGGACGGAGATTCGTGAGTTCAAAAGGTGAAAGAAATTTCTGACGACTGCCCATTTTAACCTTTTCAGGCGGCGACGACACGCTACCCATATCCGTTCTTCGCGATGCCTACCTTCGAAATGGCAGCTACAATGTCTTCCTGGTCGACTGGGGTGCCCTGTGCGCACCACCCTGTTACCCAGCAGCTGTATCAAACCTTCGTCCAGTGGCCCGTTGCCTGGCAGGCACTCTGACCACCTTACGAAACCTGGGTTTACCTATCACGAGGACAACCTGCGTTGGACATTCGCTAGGCGCCCACATTTGCGGGATCATGGCGAACTTTCTACTGTTCAGGATGCACCGGATAATCGGTTTAGACCCGGCTAGACCTCTTCTGCGCCCGGGATATGTTAATCGCCTGGACAGCGGGGACGCAGACTTCGTTCAAGTGATCCACACGAACGCCGGATATTACGGGGAGGGTGGTCGCATGGGACACGTGGATTTCTGTGTGAACGGTGGCAAAGTGCAGCCGTTCTGCGAGAACAAGCCGAATTATCAGCTCTGCAGCCACGTCTGGGTCGTCTGTTACATGGCCCAGAGCATCGACAATGGCGGCCAGGAGTCGATGGCCGAGCCGTGCTCGAGAAGATGTCCTTCTGGGCCCAGAATCGCTTTGAGGGCTGGCGAATACGTGTCTATGGGGCAGCACACACCGGTCGGGACCAGAGGGTCTTTCTGCTACACCAGCAAACATCCACCATATTGTCCCAAGTACGGAAACGGGCGTGGCGACGAGAGATGCTGCGTGCCGGAAAATAAACATGTCACGTTCTAGCGACAATAGGGGTAGCGATTAATTTTAAGAAAGGTAGTACATAAGACTGTACATAAAGCGCGAACTTAGACACGTAGAGTGAAATGAATTTTATATCGAACGAAGAATTAAATTTCATTTCGAAATACGAGTCTACGAGACATTCGAATTTGTCAAAGCATCGTATCGAATAAGAATGACAGTAATTCATTCATTCATGTAGTGCCACCTCGCGCAAAGCTTAATTAAAAAATGCGGATCAGTTGTAAAAAAAGATCTTTCAAGTCGATGCACACTGTATTTATTCAAATGGAAAGTCGGACAAACTGCACACCGCTACGAGACTTAACGCATTGCTCAAATTAATTAATATCAGAGGATGAGTGTAAACGATATCCGGAATGAATAGATTCTTCGTTAGCTAATCGATGAGGCATACGGGTACCCGTGGACAAGTGGATCTTCGTACGGTATCGTAACGCGTGTTAGCCTGATTCCGGAACGCGATTGCGTATTCAAACGCGGTACATACCGTCCGGAAAAATCTTGCGTTCGTGATCTACCGACCGATCAATCCCGTTAACCGTTCCACTGAACCTCTATAAATGTATTCACTACAATGTCCAGCAAGCGGACAACTGTTTTTTCGATCTTACCTCTTGGAGCGCAGTTGCGCAATCGGCCACTGCAATGAATTGCACGTTCGCGTGACGATAAGCGATTTCGCTATGAAATTATATCGCATGATATTCGATACGTAAAGTACAATCGTGGGAGAGATAGCAATTTCGAGGTTCAAAGGTGTCTAGAGGTTGACATTATGGATCTAGTTAGAAGAAAGACTAACGCGAGTTAGTTTTCGTCCCTTCTATTCTGATCGTTGTATGGAAACAAGATGTTCTAATGTACATAAATAATTAATTTTAAGCTGTAGCTTAAAATTATTAAGAGAATTACCGTGGCTCAAACGTGGTCTTGAAATCAATTGAATTTAGCAAAAGAAATCATATATAAGCAACGAAATAACACGATATGATTAATTAAACAGCAGCGCACTGACACAGAAATATATATAGAATAAATCATCGTGAACAACGCTATATGATGCGTAATGTAACATATGTATGTAACTCTTAAATAAAATATAAAGTCGAACATTTCGAACTCCTGACTCCCCCGATATCTGTGTTCTTAAGTACAATGTGCTTTCAAGTCTCAATTGCTATAAAGAAAAGTGCTTCAGGCTATTGTCAATGAACCATTTCACCAGAAAACTCAAGACCGTCTGTTTTTCTGCTTTCAAACTTCCGACTGGCTCCTGCTCTTCGTTTCGTCATTGTGATTCCAAAGTGTCCGACACTCTCACGACTCGACCGATGCACAAGCGCAGTCGATGACATTACAATGCGCAAGCAATTTCGCTGGGAAACTGTCCAGGGGGAAAAAAGCGCATTGAGAGGACCTATCGTTGCGCGGAAGCTCGTTGACAAATCCAGACATCGTCGAGTAGCCGACGAACCGGCGCCCCGCTGATTCCAAAGTGTTTCGGGAGACATTGATACTAGAAGTTGCCGAGATCCTTGGAAAGGCGACACGTAGACGCGACATGATCCTCGACAACGAGAACTCGTGTCTCTACAGATACTTCCCTCTTGAGAACAGCGGTTTGAAAAATTTGCCTAATAACCGGCAAACGAACCTTCCTCTGAAGAAACTGACTGATTACAAGGCCGTCTTGTTTTACGTGAAACGTTTCCTTTAATTCGACGAATAACGTGTGATTTATTTCTTATTTTTGTGTATCGTAGGAAGAATCGTATTGCGATTGAAAACGAACGTGTCTCGATAAAATATGACGAGTTATAACTTTTTCCCAATTTTCGACACAAATTTATAGAATTACCGAATGTTTCAGAGAAGAAGAATTAAATTAGGGATAAGAAGATACTAATGCAACGTTGCATTCTTGTAAAAGGTAATTTATTACAACGATAATAGTAGAAAAATTGTTGTTTAGCCTTAAACTATGTATCTTAAGTAACGATATTATCGATAAAAATATTTTGGTATTTAATGGGACGCAGTGTAGAAAATTGATAAGTAAGGTACGTAATATGCACAAACAGACGCGATTGTTAAATTTGCGTGAAGAATAATACAACGTTTGTAATACTGGCAGACTCCATTTTTTCGCAAGCTCCTCGCGTTTGGAGCGTGTCAAGGAACCGTATATTCCTAATAACAATAATAATATTTAAAATAATTAACCCCTTGTCTATTCTTTTCATAAGGCACTAATTGTACTTATTTACATTCGTAGTATATTAGGCACTCGTTACCAGCACTTGTTTCCACTTCAAAAATATAAATGCCCTTTAATTATTGCTGTTCTATTAAATTATTTGACATTCTATCGTTAAAATTTCCTTGCCTGCTCTTCCTTCTTTACAAAAATTAATTTACTCGTTGCGACAAGGAAACCTTTCAAATGGTCAAACATTTATTTAAACATCTTTGGTCCTCTATCAACAATTGGAACGAGAATATAGATGAAAATATAAATATATTTTGTTACTTGCAACTAGGAAAGACATCTTTTTCTTCATTTTTTAACAAACTATATGTACCAGATACTATACGTATCTACCAGAAGTTCAGACCCTTGGGAAATCTTTATAAAATTCCTCACAGGATACAAACTTTCATAGAATATATCTGAATCAAATCGTACAATTTATAAACGAAACATTGTCGCCGTTCCCAAGTTCAAGATATCTTTGGTTCATCGTCCACATTCTGAATCGACTGATGGACAACTTCACACAACTACCTATCAATTTAATCCTATAATTCGCATTCTTTCTAACAAGTTCATTTTCACGGTGTAAATCGATCCACGCGATAAACGAGTCGGTAATTATCTTTCTTAATGAAATTTCGAAAATTGCGCCATCGATTGGTACGGTAGCTTCGCGAGATCCGGTTGCATCGTCAGAGACGGGTAAAATAATCGAAAGTAATAGGCGGGAAGGTTCAAATTGCTGAATCTAGGCGACAAGCTCGACAACGATGTGGTCACCGTGGAAGACGAAAGTTGTGGAGAAGAATCGATCCAGGGCCTGTGTAATTTCGGCTGTGCATCACGATCGACATCCCTGGACGGTGAATTTTGATGGACAATGGAGGGTAGGGGTGGGCTAATTCCACCACAGCTACTCACTCCACTATCGTCGAGACTTTCTGTTTCACTGGGGGCTCTTCTTGGCCCCCCATTGTCGACATCTAGATGATTCGATGGTCTGTTCAATTCTGGCTCGGAAGACGCGTTCTCGTCGTCGTCGTTGATGCGAATTAATCTCTCTGCTTCTGCCTGGAACTTCCTCTTGCATCGAGATTGACCAGTTTCTCGGAAACCCTTCGCGAAGGGGTTGTTGTTGATCTTCAATTTCGTGATATTTTCGTTCTGAAAATGAAAATGAATTGTATATTGGAGTTATAAATGAATATTCGCGTGAATATTTTACCTGATAAGCAGTTACAGCAATAAACTCCGTTTCGGGAAACTTGAACGACGAGCTTGGATGAGAGTATAGATCGCTCAGTCTGGTCGCATCATCGCAACGAATAATCCAAATCCGCGGTATGTACTTGTGCATGGATGTCAGGACCAGCTGTGAGCAAAAATTGGCACAATCGTTATACATCGTTACATTCAACTGCTTAAGAATTTGGAAAATGGAAATTGTATTGTTGGATTATTAATAATATATCGTTCATTCGCTAGATACGCTTGGTCAGCATTACGTAGCAAGAACAAGTAAATACTAATGTAGGTTCCAGTTTCTTTTTCTTTTTCCTGGCTAAGAAGAAGGGATTCCCTTCATTCGGGCGGCATGCAGCAGGGAGAATTTTATTAAATTCGTAATTAGTTTGAAGAATCGGCTAAAAGGGCGCCGCTTCGTCGAGATAAGTTGGCGCCTCGCTAAGGATGCCGACGACGGTGGGGACAGACGCGATTCTCGAAAACCAGACTGGCCCTTCAACCTTCCCGGAATCACACGCTCTCGGCCTATTCAAAATCCTGTATAAACCGCGCGATATTGTATCGTATATAGAACTTCGATTGCACGAAATGATCACCTGAATTAATTCGAAACGATCGTGATTAAAAATTCTTAACGAGAAATTAATTACCGAGAACGAGACAATAAAAATTTAGCTTTATTAAAATCAGCAGCTTAATGAAACGTCGAAGAAGATGGCAGGTCGCCGAGAAGGGTCGACGTGCAACAGGAGTCTCGTCATTTTAATAATCACCCCTCAGGTACTCAAGGCGACGCAGATCCGCAGAAATAATTTCCGGGATATTTGTGAAAAATTGAAAGAACTGACAAGGGGCGCCATGGACGAGCCAGCTGCCAGGATTCGTTCTGTCGAGGCATAAACAAACCCACTCGGCGAGAAAAAGGGAGGTATATCGATTACAGGGTGTCGTGGAGCGTGTTAATCTCCGTTCTTCACGGACAACGGCCGAAACCGACGTACCCTGCACCGTTTTAGGTAGCTTAAGCCTCCGGAAGGTACGTGCACGCGGCGTCTTCCTTTTTCCCTTCGAGATTTTAATCCGACCCTGGCTCCCGTGTGCCGGGAACCGAGTTTGATCACCTTACCCGGTTAACGGGGCACCCTGTTATTTCACCGACCTGACGCATTAAGAAAGGAACATGGTTTGACTCATGTCGAAGTGGGAGAGTAGAAGATGTGCATTTGGCTGGATACAGGTATATGGAATGTCGGGTGTCGCATATTTGTGAAATGACTTAGGAGAATCACGTGCAATTCGTGAAATTGAAACGCGTTGATAGAAGTGGCTATAAGCTATAAACGGAAGAAAAATGGCTAAGGTGATCCATTAGGAGACTTAATGGAATATAATTGACAGACATTCTAACCTTCCTAAACGATCATCGGTCGAAAGAAAGTTAGAGGCTAATTGAGGGAAAACGAAGAATCGCTCGGAATCCTCTAACTGGAGGTTCCCCTTTTTTTAAGTAGGCCCTAATCGGAAGTGAAACGAGTAGCTAAGAGGGTGGGTCCGTGTGTGGCGACCTCCCGCATGCGGCTCGAGCAAGGAGGCAAACCGTAAGTCGAAACCAGAGACGCGCAAAGAAAGAAAAAGGAGAGACATTTAAGGACATGTTAGCCTGTCCAAACATGGGACATCTAGATAAATGGAATGCCGCTACCGTTCCTACTGAATCACTTCTGTTTCCTTTTCCGTACTTCCGTCAAGCCTTCTCACTAGACACCTCTTTTTAATCGAAGAACGACGAAGAAGAAGAATTTTTATCGAGAAATTACAACCGCGATTAAAATTTCATTGAATAATAACGAATCCAAGAAAAGGCACTTACGTTATTCCTAGGGTCGACAGCGTTGTTGGTCAGTTTTAATTTATTGAAGCTATGCGGATGCTGCATCCAATATGTACCAGTCGCCGGACTATCGGGATGCAGGTAAATTCTTCGATCGAGTCGTGGCTGAGGCTCGGCTGGACCAGCCGACGTCCATCCTCTTGCATTCCCACAAGTTTTCTCCAAGCCGCTACCGCCGCCGCCGACGTACTTGTGTCGACGATCGGACGCCGGCTCCACTTCGAGGAGAACGCAATAACGCGCACGCCGCTCTAATCCCGTGATAGTCAGCTGTATCGTCGGGAACATTCGTCTGCAACGAAATCAGAGAAGTTTCGCTTGAATAATTTTACTTGACAAACTTGGATTTCTGAAAAAGATAGTTCTATAAGCGGAACGAGTCAGATTAAAAGGTTGTTAGAAGTTTGTGATAAAATAAAATTGATAAATATTCGCGGTTTAAAAAAATCGTCATTATCCTCTACTGAGAAAGCACACCGTATTTCGGATATAGCCTAAGTGAACCGCAAACAACCGAGATTCTCGACTGGTTGCTAGAAGCGTTAAAGTTGCGTCGCTGGCACCGCAAATGCATCGGAACCTAACTTTTCGGCGACGTTTACGACGGGGTAAGTGTGCTTTTTGCACACAGGTAGCATGAGCAAACTATAAGAGAACGAAAGGACAGAAAATTCCCAGTCATTAACGTGCCGACGACGAGTAGGCGTCGCCGAACCAACGACTCGAACTGCTGTTACTTCCTGTGACTCTTTAAGAGCATCACGGTCGCTATCTTTCGATCCCGGCAGAAAGTTTTCTCCCTCGTGTAAACATTTCAAACTCGCGGATAATCCCATGAGCAAACCACCGAAAGTCAATCTGCGGTGGTTCGGACCGTTTGCATACCTAATTGCGGATTTTCCACCGTCGCTTTGTTCCTACCTACGCATCTTTTACTCACATCGATAGAACGAAATAGAAAATATCGCCAACATATAACCTTCCTCTTTACTTATTTCGTTATTCTATCTGACGATGATATAAAAAAATTCTTGCAAATTCCGAATCGAACTTGAACAAGTGAATTTGTATTGCGCGGGTCGGTAAAAGCACTTAGACGTTAAATCCACGAAGGGTTCATTTGAACCACCGATTACAGTGATACCTGACTCTGCTATTTAAAAGTTAAATCCATGAGAGATATGTATCTAAAGTAATGGACGCAATTAGCAACGGAAAATCCAACCTATACCGTCGAAGTACATTTTAGAAATTACCACTGATCTATGTTCGCAGCACGTTTGAAACACTAAATGAAACGTCGTGTAAAATCCTAATCCCCTATGACACTTTATCCAGATTACAGGATAGACACATCAAAGGATTACGCACATTAAGCATAATTATTTGCGAAAAATCCAAACGAATCATCCTACGGGCATTTCCAAATTTCTATGCTACACCCGCTGACGTGAGTGAAATGAACTATATAGAGAAGTATACAGAGGACTATATAGAGAAATTGGCATTAGATATGTTTGTTACGGCTACTCGGTGATTGATTACAAGTTGAAAAAATATGTTCTCAGGATCGACGTCATGCCCCGTGTCGTTGAATCCACTAAAAGTGGCGCCCTTATAAGTGGAGGATTACGCCGTCGCGACGGCTGCTGGAAGACCCGTGCGCCGATGATTCGAACGTCTGGTCCTTTTAAAAAGCCTCTCGACATTATCGGACAAGCCAGATAATACCGTAATAACGCGATACAACAACGCGTGCAGAACGGCAGCACGCGCCTCGCTTTCCTTTCATCTCGTAGATCAGATGAATCGAAAGTCACGTGGCACGGTTAGAAGTTTGGAAAAAGGCTTTATGTTCGAACGGCAACTCGAATTATAAATACATTTTCACCTACGTTATCGATACGACTTTAAATCGACTCCGACTTCGACTTCGACCAAGACGTGAAAGAAACTTCAGGAAACATCTCCGAAACGACTTCAGATATAAATTTAATTACATTTCCGTTTAAGATCATGTACGAAACGACTCAAAAATTGTCGTATACACCGAGTCTTTTCCCAACCCTGACGACTACCGTAAATTCGTGAAGCCATAAAGAGGCTAGTCGAGGATCGGTAACAGGCGAATCACGGCGAAACGTGAAATTAATTATCTCCGCTTTGGCAGAGCAGTCCCTTGTTACGAAAGGGAAAAAGGGATGGATAGTAAGAAAAAGAGAAAACGAGCCGAGCCTTCGGGATTGTGCTTCTGGAACGCACGTTTTCTCCGTGAACCTATTCATCGGCTCTGTCGTAAGGATGCCAGCAGCAGAACACAGGGGGTAAAAGAAGAGGAAGAGGACGCCCGATCGTGGAGAACAAAACGAATTGAAACACGCTAAAAGAGAACGAGGAGAACAAACTGAGCCGATCGTGTCACGGAATACTGATTACTGCATACAAGACCTAAAACGGAATGCACGTGGTTGGCACGTGGTGTTCTCGCAAGGGAAAAATCGTAGCTAGACCGGAAGGCACGGATATGCGAATAGGCAAACACCTTCGTAACTATTGTAAGACCTGGACCGCCCACGAGTCCTTGGTGACCAGTCCTTTCCACTATCTTGTTTATTCGATGTTCCCATGGTCCCTATGTGCTCCCTCAAATAATAAACGATAGTATCGAAGAAGCGAATCTTTAGAACGAGTTTTTTGAATAAATGACATTTTTATTTACCATTGAAAATGCAGCGTTCGATCAATTTAAGCGTATCATTGCTATTTAAACCACAATGGTACGTTTCAGTGCAGTCGAAAGAATAAATGATTAATACTAATCGCGAAGTTTGTTAGAAATTTGGAAAGCATGGAATTTTAATTGAAAAATATTATTCTACAGAATTTTTAACGTCGCGTATTATTCACCTGAATCTATCGTTCGAAATGAATTTCGCATTCGTGCATTAGTGGGGAGAAGCTTATTTGTATTTCGTAACACGTAAATGTTCCAGATGACCGGATGTGACGAAATATTTGAAGAATCTTGTCGCGTTCACATCACGTTGGCGTTTCCCTCCCCTTTGATTTCCGTGTTCACAAAATGAAGACATCTGGCTGACATCAGCGAGTTATCTAGCGCGAGAGACCACGCGAAATTCTCGGTAATCTTATCATAGCTACGCCTGCGTATCTGAAAAAGAGCGATCGGCAGCTCAATCGTTTCCGGCGTAGAACGGCCGGAAGCCGTGATTCGTCCTGCATCCGTCCAGTGTATACGACGTTTCCCGCGAAATCTACCTTCGTAAAATGATTCGAAGATCGGTGTCATCGATAAACGCGAACCCGTCGTCACGACCTTACTTTTACGACCTTTCTTGACCACCTTCCGTGAAACTAATCGCCCTGTCGTCGCTTGAACGCGTCCGTCCTTAAAGGCATCCACATGCCTGCTCTGACTAACGTCTAGCTATCTGTATAATTCGAAAACTTCGCGTTCGACTCATCGTTCGTAAATGATAATCGATACCGTAAAGTGTTTGGAAAGTTTCGAAGTTTATCAAAGCTAAATTACGCAAAACGTCGAAGCATGTATCTCAAAGAAAGAAACCTTTTCAATTTTTGAAATGTATAGTTTATACGATGATGCAGAAATTTATAAACGAACAAAAAACGTTTGTTAGTACGTTGAAAGTCGTAAAGATCGTGAAAACAATCGAGGGACAGGTCGCATTTTTTCAGGTGGAGACGGTAAAGGTTACAACAGCGACAGAGGGTGTGGTCGCATGGCGCCTGACGGACCATTTCAACCCTGATGGAATTCAAGGTAAGAAATTTCGGCAACGTATGTCAAGAAAAAAAGAAAATTATATACTATATCCTCGATTTCGCTTCGAAATGGTTATTAATTTAATTTAACATTTGCCTACGCAAACTTCTATTTCGAACGATGTCGAAGCACGTAATAATTATCTCTAGTATCCCTGTACGCTGGAGACACTAATTCTAAACTATTGACGGTATAATTATTAAAAATCATAGTATATGCACTCACCGGCCCACCTTCGTAATTACCATTTCCGTGGTTTCTGCGTGGAATTGCTGCCACAGTTCCCGATTCTGCAACTCAACCTTCACTTCCGAAGGTAAAGGGGGACCTCCGCCTAAGCTCGGTATTGACCACGTATTTGAATTCGGTATGTCCTCTGAAACAAAATAAATTTTTCATTAGCACTTTCAGTTAAATTTCCCATAATCTACGAGGGCATGACCCGCGGAGGAAAACTAAATGATCAAAGCAACGTCATTGCTGACGGACTAAAAAGGAACGATATTTTCGCGAGAAGAGGCGCAAAACGAACCGTTCACGCAAAGTGAGGGAAGAAAGAGGAAGACGAAAGATGAAAACAGAAAAGTCTTTTGCAGAATTGTTATCCCTCGCGTCCTGTTCATCTAAACAATGCTTGGACAAGTGAAAGAGGGACAAGAAATTGCGCGGATGAGGTAACTCGAATGCCAGGAAGAACACCTTTTCCAAGTGGATCTATAGAGTATAGAGGCTGCATGAGCGATTCGCCCTGCACTTGTCTCGCGGTTCTGCGGTCGAGGCATTAGACCCCGGCTAGGATAATTGCGGCCATCGGTTCATCTTCTTTCTCTTCCTGCCGAGAGGACACCGGTACCAAGACATTGTATAGAGCAGATAACGATTGTCCGCTCGACCGAAAGTCGGCGCCTTTCATCTTCATCCTTAGAGAAGCTCGCGAGGATCTATGTCGCCTCTGCGAGCAACTTGACACGTATTATACGCACCCCCTCTTCTTACAGGATATTATGTCCATTTTCCGACACGTGGGAAACGACGAAATCGAGGAATTCGCACTCTACCCGAAGGTGAATGGTAAAGATCTGCGATCAAGATGCTTAAGCAATTCGCGACTGCATTCCACGCGACTTTAATTGGATGAATTGGAGAGATTGTCATGGGAGGTCGCTGTCGAGACCGAATAGGGGTAAGAGAACGAATTTTTTTGAATTTATGTTACGATACTTTTTCATACGGTTTTTAATTATTACGCAATTGCTATAAAAATATTCAAGGAACGAGTAACTCTTTTTCAGTATATAGTACATATAGAACAGATTGTTCATACTATGATTATAATGCTATAAAATATGAAATATTATAAAAATCGGGAACAATTATTCAAGTAACGATGAAACTTAACACTAGAACTACCAACCCAGTGAAAATGACTGGTCCCAGAATTTTCCTTTTTGCAATCACCGAACACATACATCTGCTTTAAGAATAAAATTGGTATCAACTCATATTAAGAAAGAACTGTACTCAATATTCATCGTACCGCTGAAATTACTATAATCTGTGCACGTTATAGTTAGGTACCCATTAAAGATCGGCAGTTCTAGTGTTAATCAAACTGAAAAAATTTATCGTTTATATCTCTCGCAGAGTCTATTGTGTATACGTAAAATATAGAAAAGTAACGAAATGGTATATTTTTATGGTAAATCCTGCTGTTAGACTACCAATAATAATTATTTTTATTATTACAAAATTAGACCCATAGAAAGGTAAATCAAGGTAACTAAAAGTTTGAATTATCTCTTCGAAAGAATACCTACACCTATTAATTTCTGTAACTCTACCGTCAATATCAAATGTCAAACCTCGACGTAAAAATTTTGACATGGAAAAAGAGCTCTAATGTAAAGCCATGGGCAACAATCAAAAGTGTCTACGATCTGCAGTAACTACTTAAGTAAAATTAAAAAATAAAAAGACTTGACCAACCTGGTCTGTGACTTCGAAGAGCAAGCTGGTGTTGACGGAACAGCATCTGTTGATGCAAGTGTAGCTGCAATTCCATTGGCATCGCCATAATCGAATTCATCCTTCGATCGACGAACCACGTAAATTCTATCGAACGTATGTCACTCGCTCGCACGGTGTCACTAAAACACGAAAATTATCAGAAAAATTTGTCCGTTCGAAGTCTTCCGCGTTCAAGCTTACCGACGACTGAGGATGCGTTTCGGAATTGCAGAGACGACTCCGTTGCAACGATCCATCACTGCACTCGACGGCTTCGCCTGCTATTGGTCGACGCTTTCTCCCCACCACGCGAGCGCCGCGCCCACGCTGATCCTATTGGTCGATGCAATTCCAACTTGCCTGGAGTAACCGCGAAACGTATCTGCACGTATCGAAACACGCATGATGCACTTGCCTTTTAATCACAACATGATAAAAAAGAACATGAACGAAATATGTAAATCAAAATGATCGTTAAACACGACGATGCAAAGTGGAGTCCGAAACAAAAAATCGTATAGTACCTAATATTTCAACTAAGACAAATCAGAAAGCTGTAATACCTAAATTAAAACTTTCTTCTCCCTTTCATAAATAAATATTTGATAGAAATATATATACAAACAATCCCCTGGTATATGAAACTAGCTTTACATTTTCTCCACGAATTTTTCTTCGCCAATTATGAACAATAATTAAAATAAATGATGTTTCTCAAAATAATAAGAGGCAGAAATGTTCGAAATCTTCAAAATATGTAACATATAAATGATAGGGAGTTTTAACAGCTGAGTAAGTAGGTAACCAAATATCACGTCAACTGCGCATAGCTCCGTACTTGAAATATAACGCAACGAAAGAGCTAAACGTAATGGACGAACGTGGTCCATCCTAACGATTCGGAAGAGTTTCTTTTTAACAAAGGTTGCAGGAAGAAGAAAATGGTGTAACACGAGGGAAACCGCGTCGCGTCGGTCGGATTTACGCGCTCGGTCGGCGTATTTGAGGCGTACGCACGCAGGCTGTGTCTCGGCACACGATCGCATTAAGAAACGATGCGCGCCGGGTCGTTAGGTACAAGAGAACGGAGGAATCGTCACCATAAATTACGGAATCCGGGCGAGCAGACGGCCGTTAATAGTTTGTTCTCGAGTCTCGGAGACGAGACGAGGCGAGAAGATAAAATCAAGAATCCGTCCGCGGTGCGTCGGCGGTCAAAGAGGAACGGAACGAAACGGAGCGCCGCGAGATACAAATCTACGCTTTTCTCGCTCCCTTATGTGCCCTTTTTCTCGTCCACCACCGCTCTCTGCCTGTCGTCGCTTCGCCTTTTTTCTCCACCATAGAAAGCGTCCCCTCACCGCCTACGACGCCGGTCATCGCACCATTGTAGTGGGTTCCGGATTGTGGATTAACTGTAAGCGATACCCACAACAAAACGCGCGCACTTTTACCTGACAGTTCGGCGGCTACCTGTAGTCCTACTACTTTATGGCAGTATTGTAATGTCTCTCGATCGTGTCAACGTAACCGCTTCGGGAATCTTCGAGGATGAACCGAAGGTTGTCGGACGCTTGAGAACTCTTGTTATCGATAAATATCGGCGAGTATATTTTCTTGCTGTATCTTTTATTTCTTTCATCTTCCCTTTTCCCTTTTCATTGTTTTCCTTCGTTTTGGGTAAATCGAAATCGTAATCGAACACGGCCGGTTACGATTTATGATTGTGATTTACTTTATTTGAACTTAGAATGCCAGCGGTGATTCACAAACGGTTAAAATTGAAATAAATCCCGCGCAATTTAGTATGGCTATGGATATTTGATATTTCGGTAAAAACATTTGTAGAATATTTATAAAAGTGATACGAGAGAACGAGTAGACCAATACGCGAGGTACTCGGAGTACACGAATCGGCAGGCAATTTTTTCCCAAAGGGTAGTCGAAACTTTGACTGTATATAGTATTTAAAACAGGGTAAAGGTTCCTGATAAAGAAAGACAGAAAATACTTCGTGAAAGAGATGCAGCTGTTTTCGAAAAGGGACAGAATATCGTCCTGTTGGCATCCACACAGTTTACGTAGCAACGAAGTGTTTTCTTGCAAACCGACAGATGCACGCAAGTTTTTTTTTCTTGAAAGATAAACGCCAAAATCGAGAAACAGAGCTCTTGTAGTTTGAGGATACTAACAAAAATGGGCAGAAATCCCAAACCTGAACTTTCTTGATCCATGAAATTAATTCGACCCTAACTGACACTCGGCATCTAAAGAATTAGGTGAGCGATAGTATTATTATCATCGTGAGAAATACTATAATCCCTTTGCAATAATAAAAGCTCACGCCTGCTGGCAGATCGGTTTCAAGTTTGGTCAATGGCAGGGGGTCTCTAAGAATTTTACGTCCTCTTGGCATTTGACCATTTTCTCCTCGACGATTAGGTAGACTATTAAGGCTATTCTTCTCATCCCTTTTAATCCTAAGTACCTAATTAGGTGTCAAACATTATTATTCTAATAAAGGAGAATTACGAATAATTTAGAAATTCAACGCATCGAATTGCTTCAAGAACGTGTATGTCATTAAAAATTAACGTATACAGAATTTATCGCCTTCCTCTTTGCTTCGTGTTAAATTCGAAAATAACAATATTATCAGATTTCCTAAGTTTACGATTAGACTGACTTCTCGTAATTTATTACCGATTTACATAAACATTTTTTCGTAAAATTACGAAAATGTGTGTTCTTTGGATGGGGTTTAAGTGCTAGTAGAAGAGACTTTCGACGAAGGAAAGAGGTATACGGTTAAAGGGGAAAGTGGGTAAGGAGAAGCCGACAAATAGGTTTTACGGCTCACTTCCTGTCCGTCGCACGCGACAGTTATGCGCCCCATAATAAGACGGTGGTTACTTTCCGAGACAGCTTGAATTATAAGCGAAGGAGTAAAATCATAATTCACGTTCCATCAATGCCACAGTACGTATTTCCCGTTTTTGTAATTTATTCGCAACATTAATAAAAATAAAGGATATCACTCGCGACATGGTGTATATCAAATTATACGGACATTTTAACGTGACATTATTGCTTACATTGGTTTTCAAAATATGCATTTAATCCGAATTTTATTCCAAATTTGAATTGAATTAAATTTTAGCCGAATGAAAATTTTTCCATCACGGACATACCATACGTCATTCGATATTTTGTATTAAGTATTTAGTTTTAAAAAATAATCTTTCTCCAACGCATATAATACAATTTTATTCGGTTATTATATCGATAACGCAAAGATATGAACAAATATACAAAGAAATCACTGTAACGAATATATTTCACTTCCTAACGTCCAATTTTTCAAATGACAAAATTTACAGGCCTTCGAGTAGGCCAATCGTGAAGTAGAAGAAGAAGAGATAAACAGAAGGAAGGATAAGTAGAGACTTTCTATCTTATGGTGTTAAAGGACAAAAACGAGGACCTCCGTTTTAAAGTGGCCACTTTAACGCGAATGTTTGTGAACCCGAACGGAAGTCTTGTTCGATCATTCGACAGTTATTTCTTTATTTACTTATTTCGAAATTTTTTACCGATTACAAGCGTCGTGAAACATATCACGTTTCACGTTCCCAGCGGTGGGAAACATTTTAAATCTAAACTATTACTTAGATACGTATATCGTAATTTTATCTTCAGTGAGTGAAACAGAAAGCAACTGGTCGTTGGCCCTATAACACGTGTTTCGCAAAAATCTCCGAATCGCCGAATTTCCAATCGCCACACGTCAAATAAACTATCAGATAAGCTATGATTACGTTAGTAGAAACGGTTAGAAGCTATTGTTATTTCAGGACAGTTAAGAGTAAACATGATGTTCGAAACACGAATTTTCAGCTCTTCGAGATATGTACAAGATAACACGTCGCATGATGGTGGATCTTACGTATAAACGCGACGAAACATCTGTGTCACCTTGCCTGCACAACCATCGCATACCGATAATTTCCTCCGAAATTTTTCAAATTGAATCGTTTGTAACAAGAATTATTAGCAAATATTTCAGTGAATCTATAGGTTCGATGCAATTTCACCTGTTGCAATTAATGGTGTAAAATCACGAAAAAACTTCGTTACGCGATGCGTCAGGATGAACGCGAAGAAAGTTAATTTCTTAAGATGTAAAGTGACGTTTCCGGATGGATTTTCGCGCGTGGGCACCGGTTTGCTTTGAACGTCGCGTACATGCGCTTCCCGCTTACATCTTCGCGCGTTCTTTTCACATGAGCGACCGACCGCGCGTCAAATTAACATTATGCTTTGTTAACGTCACGATGAAATAGTTTGTATTACTATCGAGTGTAAAAAAAATAAAAATGTTCATAGTTTACAATTATCCTGATACTCGGGGGGCGAATGTTAAATAAATAAACGGGTCAAAAAATTAAAGATCGACGAACGCTTGAAAGTGTTGATAAAAATTCTAGGTACAAAAAGATATACATAAAATTTTTAATGCAATCCTTAAATCTTCTTTTCCCGACTTTATTTATATTTATACATTCTTTATCCATTTCATCTTAAAAGAGTCGTACACAAACTATCGATCGCTGTTTACAACACTCTATGATACTATATTGTAACGTGATAAAGTACTTTGCAATTGACTGGCTATCGTACGTGAGTGCATACAGCTCAGATGTCATTTTGTTAACTCGTTCAATAAGTCGCGAAGAATACTTATTCGAAATTTGGTAAGATTGACGTACGGTAATTATACGAACTAAATTATTTTGTTATCTACATTCGTTCTTATCTTACTTATGCCTTTCACGGAAAGTACCTACATATTTTCATAAAAAGGATTAAACGTCACGTTTACCACTGAAAGAGTTCGCAAAGAGCAAAATTATGGTATGATATTGAGATGAAACGACCATTTTAAATTTGCGAGCAACTGAGATTCGACGATTTATTTATTCACAAATAATCACAGCACATATTCGCGATTTTTACAAAGTACACTAATGTAGTAGATTGAAAATGGTCATTTGCAATATAGTATAG